ATAAATATTAATAAATGCTGATAATATATGCTAGTATCTATCCAAAGTTAATAAAATTTTCAAAAATTTTAGTAACAATAGTAATAATTTGTCACTCAGTTATTTCTTCATCTTCGCTACTTGAATTTTCTTCTTCGAATCCAAGTCCTTTTTTAATTCTTTCCTAAAAATATTATTAGCAAAAATTTATATTACTTCGAAGACTTTTAAAACTCATCTTATTTTTTTCCACTTTGCTTTTAATTAATGTTTTATTTATCAAAATACTTTCATTATTTGAATCAAGAACTGTTTGACATACTACAATGGCAAATGCTACTTGTTCATCGGAGGCATTTCCTTTTGGCCAAACTTTTTCGAGAATATGGGCCATCATGCTTTGTATCTTTTCTTTTGGACATTTGTGAAGGTTTTCAAAGCACTCGGTAGCCTTTTAAGATTGTTTTCAGGTCAAAATTTTGGTGGCGAATACAATCGTATTTATTATCCAAAAACTTTTTGCCAAAAACTGAAAACATGGCATCACGAATTTTTGAAGCCATAGTCTTATAAAGCGATCAATACTGTTTTATGAGTTTTTAAAGCAATAAGATATTAAATAATTGAAGAACTAAAGTTATTAATATTTATAAGAATTATCACTTGATAAATATGTTTTTCATAATATGTTTTCCAGTATTTTCTTATGAGGCCTTCATAGGACTCTGAATATTCTTGCTGAAAAAATTTCTTGGTTGTTTGGTAAAAATCTTCAGGATCCAGGTATATTTTTTCAAAAAATACTTGTTTCGCGATACTTTTAACTGCACGTTATTTAAATAAAATATAAGTTTTTGAAGATCTTTAAAGAAATTCAAAAATGAATCTTACCTTAATAAAATCATATTTGGTAATTAAATATTGACTTGCATGAATTTCATTTTCTAGACAGGTAATCTTATCCTTTATAATTTTTTGCCATTCTAACAATTAATCGATTTTTTTATGAAGACTATTTCTTATCTTATTTTCATTAAATTTTATTAAATTATATTGATTAAAGTAAAAAATTTTTTGTTATAATTCTTAATAAACTTTTAATAAAATATTTAAATTTTATTTTAATAGGATAATTTTTATTTAATATATGATTATTGATTTTTTTTTTGTTAATTTAATTAATAAATTTAATTGTTTCAATATTTTTATTGTAAATTTTAATTTTAATAAATTCAAGTTATGATTTTTTTTTAAATATTCTATTTAATAATTTTAATTAAAATTATCAAATTGATATCTTTATTTTTTTTAATAATTTTTTTTTTCTTTTTTTATATTTTATACATATATATTACTATGTATTTAAAATTTTTTGTTTTTTAATTTATTTCTTATATCTTAATATTTTGTAACTTGTGCTATATATATGATAGAATTAAATTTAAATGTTTTTTAAAAATTATATTATAATAAAATTACAAACATATTAAATACCATAATTAGAATCATATTTAATTTATAATTACGTATATTATTAATCAAATTTTCTTTTATAGTAAATAATATTATTAATATACTTTATATTATCAAACATTGATTCCGGCGTCTTTTATCATGTAATCAACATATTGCTTTCATATAAAAATGTTGTCGCAGAAAAAACACGAAACATATATAAAATTTTTATTAAGAAATTAAAATTAAACTAGATCCTCTTAAGATCAACTTAATTTTGGCGTGATGGATTTCTAATCAACATCACTTCATAGGGAAACATGAAATATAAAATGAGAAAATCTTTATGTAATAGAAACAAATGTATCTACATAATGTGGACTTAGACTTGAAAATAGACCCTTTTCGTAAATTTACGGGGTAATGAATATCTATGGTGTAAATAACAAGCACATAATGAATTCAATATCTATGAATAACAATGAGGAATGTAGTGATATAAACTTCACATGTTACCATGAGAAAAACCCTCACCAAGAAATATTTATCCACCGGTTTTTAATAAGAAAATAGTATATACTCATTAATATTCCCACCTCATCCACTGGTTAATCCCGGAATTTTTAACACATTTCTTTTGACAACCACCTTGCCAGGAGACTTACGTTTATTAGTTATGATCTTTTTAGCAGGATGAGGGTAAGATCGGAAAGTAAGATGCTGAAGCGCACGGGTATATGGGGATATTGTATGATTAGAATTCATCAGAGTGGCAAGTCGAGCTGCCACAGATGTTTCGGACGGTTGAAGTACAATTTCCTGTGGTTGAGATAATGAGTGATTTTCAATAAACATATCTTTGGAACTTGATATATCGTTGTTTAAATCGCAAGATTCATTAAGAGATTTATGATTGGAAGCAGAACGTTGAGGTTGGGGAAGCGTTGTTCTGTCGACAAACTGAGATTGATTATGACGCTGAAGGTTTGCAGCGGTCATTTGAGTGTGGATCGAGTTTGAAATCGGGCAAACCATCTCATTAAATTGAATCCCATTGGTGACTGTTATTGGGGTTTTCGCATCAGTATGTATATGACGCCTTAATGAATTTCTTAAGTTTGAGCGGGAGTATTGTTGATCTTGTTGAGAAGACGGCAACCAAGCGGGTAATGAGCCTCTCCTATGGGGTTGTGGAGAGACTATTAGACGTTGACGATGAAATACATGTGGTCGACCATTGTCTGAACGGTCTTCTTTGTTGGGACGAGATATTGCCTTTAATCCTTCTTCTTTTTTACGCTCAAATAAATCCCCAAAGCTTGAATATGAGGAATATCCCGGACTCCCATCTAAGGAATCGAGATCTCCTATGTAAGAACCATCTTCGGCATAAAATGAGGATTCTGGTGAAATGCTTGAGGGTTCAGAAGTTGCAGTTGAAGAAGGTGTGTGATGTCGAAGTTCAGGCATGGACATTGTGTCGTATGGTGCACTGTCCGAAAACGCATTAGGATTTGACGAATCTTTTAATGGGACGGTGTCCTCTTTCTTCTTAGCACCACCGTTAAGCCACTTTTGCAAAGATAGTTGATGAACGATGGATGGTAAATCCTCTTGAAACATTATTCTCAACCTCTTTTCAATTTCCGTTTGCAGGAACCTTTGAATACTAGAAATACTATCAAAGGTTGATGTCACGTCAACTTTTTCCAAAGGATCATTTTTAAAAACCAGGGTGATTCCTTTTTGCTTGCTAACTACTAAGACAATAATCCCTCTCAACTTCAGATTACTTAATCTAAGAAGCATAGGCACCACCAATGGTTGATCGGCTGCAAGAATCCCTCTTCGGGTATACATGCTCACGTCGGATTTATTGCTATTCATCGGATTTGCCTATTTAAAAAAAAAAAAATACTGCTTTAATTAGCGACTGATGATGAGAACGCACAATTGTCATTTTTCATTAGATAACCTTTATATACCTGCACTTTTGTTTGCAAAGTTAAATGAGCGTCACCACTATAAATCAGTTTAAATATTCCTCTAAATTTGTCCACAGCCAGTTCTCCGATCTCCATGATTTCCAACTCTGGGGGCTAGAATAAAAAGTTCTCTTGTCATAAGATATCGAAGAAAAGAGAAAGAAATAAGAAATAAGACATTAATGACTTGTTACCTTTGTACCCATGTTCAAATCTTTAACGACTATCCGATCTACAATATTAGCAGGCTTATTACTTTTATTCAGAGCGGTTGTCAGAAGGTTTTTTGCCTGCTCCACGAACTCTGTGGTAAATTCGGGCCAATTAAATTTAAAAGCCATGTTCTCAAAATACGAAATTTTAATTTTTGTCCTCCAGGAAACAATTATTTATGTGAAGTAATGAAAGTGTAGGTGGAAAGGTATTTGAAAAATGAGACCATCGTAAGATACCACCCAGAAAAAGATCGATCAAAGATCTATACTACCACTGTATCACCGTGTTGCTATGTATGTTACATATGTATGACAGATTGATGGACCAATAAAATTATTCTTTCGGATAAAATGTTGGTGTTGTTTTTTATAACATACCAGTACGTGCCAAAAAAATTGAGAAATAACCACTGTGATCGCGTTGAGAAGCCACTTGGTCAAATAATTGCTAATACGTAGGTTACTTCGGTTTTTACGACACAGTTAAGTTGATCTTTATCCTCGTTCGTTTTCAAGTTGTAATTTTTATTTCTTTTTCTTCTTTTTAAGTTGAACGACACAGAAACAAGAATAATGTCGAACATAGATGGTCAGAGTATTAATAACAAACCCACGCTTGTTAACGATTCAATGGATATTGACACTATAAATAAAGATAATGAAGGGACCAGTTCTTCCCGGCTAAATGATACTTCTTCCCAATTGATACATGTTCCCACCGCATCTGTAAATGTTTTATCGACAGAGAACCGGTCTGATTTTGCTATTCAACCTACAAAACCAGAAGAAAAACAGACTAACAGTACAACGATCAACATGACAACTCAAAACGTTTTTCAATCGGTCGGAAAAGATTGTACTACTGTTTCTCCTGATAAAAAAGATGAATGTTCCAATAAAGAGTTACCAGAAAACATAGAAGATAAGTGCGATTTCTCCAAACAGGAAATAGTGACAAACCCTGAGTCTGTTCAAGAAGAAATAGTTACTTTTCTAGATAAAGTAGTGGTTGAAACTCCTTCAAGTTTATTTCCCAAAGATTTTGACGTGCCAAATGATCGAATGGAAGTGCATTCATCCCACCCTGACAATTCTAATGCCTTAGTAGCCCAACCTTCGTCTGAGAAATCTGTTGAACCTGACTACCAACCCGTTTCAACAGAGTTAGCCATTTTGCCTAAATCCTCCACTGAGCAATCATCACAAAATAACAATGATAATATGGATACAGATGAAACCCCCAATGTTCAATATGACAAAGATGATGTAGTTCGCTCAAAATCAGCTGATCATTCTGAAGTCCCCCAAAATACTAATCCTTCAGGAAATCAATCGCGTGGTGATTGTGGTCAAGGTTCACAAAACCCCTCTAATACGATTGAATCTGAATCATCATTGGATGGATCTACCCATCCAGATAATTCATCAGAACATAATAATGCTAGAGAAAATCGCAGGTGGCGTGGTCGCCGTTCCCCAAGTTCTCAAATTGATAATGAGAAATCTGATCGTAAAAGCCCATTTAACTTACCCAAATTGTCGGATGCAGAATTTCAAGCCTTACCCTCTGGCTCACGTTTATTTCTAGGAAACTTGTCTACTCACTCAACCTCTAAAAAAGAACTTTACGACATCTTTTCTCCGCACGGAAAAATTTTACAAATATCCATAAAGAATAGTTTTGGTTTTGTTCAATATGATAACCCCGAAAGTGTAAAAAGAGCAATTGAAAAAGAAAATGGTAGAAATTTACACGGTTTAAAACTAGGCATGTATTTCATTTCATCCAGATTGTCACGCTTATATCACATTGATCTCTCCGTTCCTAATATTTTTCCCTTGTGATGTTTACATAATTGATCAGGATTAGAAGTTTCTCATGGAAAACCGTGGCACCATTCATCGTCGTCACAGGAGGAAGGGTTCGGCAAGCATTCTTTCGCTAACAGACAAGGAAAGCATTGGAATCAGAAAGGTTACAAAGATAGTTGGTACCAGAATGATCGCGACTATACCCCAACGAGAGGGAATCACGGTCAACCTTATCAAGAACGGCGTTATGATGATTATGATCGTCGATCCTCGGAGTATAAATTTGATCGACGTGCTTCATATGATTCTAGAGGTGGTTACGACTACTCGGATCAAAGGGATTATCGTCCTCCGCATTATAAGGACGAAAATGAATACAGGCCTCCTCGAGATGAGAGGAAATATCGTCGCAACTCATATCGCGAAGGTGGTCACCGTGATGAACGATACTCGCACCGGTCAAAACCATATAAAATTCCCCCTCGAGATTACGTCGAAAAGAGACAAAGTCGTGATCCATATCGCTCCCAATCGCACGATGAGCCCGATGATGAGTTTCCTTTGCCTCGGAGACAAGGAGGTGACGTCCCAGAATGTCAAATTATCGTTTTAGAAGAAGTTGAACGGTAAGTTGATTTTGATTTAAAATTTGTGCTTAAATTGCCGGTCTAAACATGCACTCGATTTTCACCCTATCAGGAATTTCCTTTGGCAAGTTGAAGGTTCTTTCCGCGAGGCATCTATTTCTGTGCATACTCTTCATCTTTCTCGCAAGCTTCAGATCCAATCAGTCATTCGTCAGATGATTATGGAAGGGGTTCACGCGGTAATCTTTATGGAAAGACATCTCGCTCTAAACGGTCTTGTGAATATGCAAATTTTCGATCAGTCAAGAACGGGCGACAATGTGAAATATGACGGTCCGTATTTGTTATATATGTATGAATTATTATTATTAATTCCCTTCGGTACTTACATTAAACCATTGAAATTAATAGAGTATAATGGTATCAAAGTCGAGGAAGCTGTTGGCCTATTGTTAAGAACTCGTGTATCGCAACGGACAGGTGACCTCAGACCTTCTGAGAACGTAATGGTCGGCGGACAGCAAAATCTTCAACAAGCGCAGCAACCTCATGCAATGGGTGGGCAGGCGGGTTCCGCAGGACTTCATCCGATTTCTTTAAATAACGTTAATTTTGCCGCCCTCGCAAGTCTTCTTGGAACCCTTCAGCCTACCGCTAATCCCAGTCTCGGCATTCAACCAATGTCGATAATTCCACCTGGAGGCATCCAAACATCTCAGCCGGGATTGTTAGCTCAACAGCAGCCTCCAAATATCGACGTTCAACAGCTGCTTAGACAACTTGCGCCACAAAATCCGGGGCTACCCAATCAAACACCTTTCATGGCGGTACCCCCACATATTGCGTCTAATCTTGGTTTACCTCCCTCATCTTTCAATGCTTCATTGGTTGGCCATCCTTCAAATGTCATAACTCCAAACACCATTTCACCTAATGGATTACCTTTATCCCAGCATCAACCCCCACATCTCAATCCCAACATCCCACAATTTCCAACCCCAATCTCTAACCCTTCTAACGTAACAGATCTTATGGCGCAATTTAAGCAATATAGCAACCAGCGATAGATTAATTTCCTATTCTGCTCGAATCATCCGTTTGGTGTTGAACGAACATTTGTTGTACGTCCATTTCGGTGGTCACTACATTCTAAAACTGTCTTTGAAGTGAATTTGCGATAAAATTAACATGGATCGTTAGATGCCGATGAAAGGATGATATAATTTGATCAATCCTCAACTGATTGGACCCTTGCCTATAATGTTATCTTCTCGTACAACTTGTGTTTAATAGGTATTTGTCATTTCTATGAGACTTGTCCAATAAACGTTTGCGTTAGAGAAGTAGGAGTTTACATGAATTTAGGAGCTGGGGCTTCTTAATATTTACTGATTTTCAAAAAAAACAAAAAAAAAAGTTAACTTCTAGGTAGGTAAAAATTTCTGATATTTGAGATATAGAATTTTAAAACTAAAGCTCTTTCGACCGCATGTAATTAATCCAAAATAACACAATGGTATGGTTAGGTTAGGTTATATAACAACAATACACATTTATTGAATGTTTGAATACAAGTAAAGCAAGCATTTCTTTAATTCGATTTACAATAATCTAATTTATACGAAATCTATTTTTATCTTAGTTCTGATATTTTATAGTTTTTAATTTATAATTTTACAAATTTAATTTTGAATTACATTAATTATATCAAAAAATATATCTCTGTTTATAATTGTAAAATTTTTTATATACTGTATATCGATATGGTGAGGAGATTTAAGAAATTTTTCATATACAACTACAATATATTTAATTTTTAGAAAAAAAATAGACGTTTCGAGGTTTAAAATTACTCGAGATGAAATTTTCTTTTTCAATTGTAGTATATTGCCTGTTTCAGGTTTCTAGTTTGAGTCTAAGAAAATACCTCGTTGCTATTGCTCAAAGTGCTAGGTCGAGTTTGAATCCCGCTTGCTGGGTCAAAAATCCCAGGGCCGAGTCCCAATTTTGGGTTTTTGGATGTACTTTACTTTAACTCTTCGTTTTATCGAAAGTTCTGGAAAAATAGAGCCAGTATTATGAAAACGTTAAATTAAATATTGAATGTCTTCTAATGGAACAATCTTTGGCAAATAAAGGAACTAAAAAACGAAGGCGAATTTGATTCTGATTCAAAAGATAATCAGAATAAAAGCATATTTTATTGATAACAAGAGATCGAAGAGAATAAAATTGAAGAATACATGTTTTATTAAGAGTGTGTAAATTTTATACAGACTTTAACTCAACAATGAACATCAAAAAATTGCGAATTGTTTTGGTGTATGCATTTTTGATGATTATGAATCTTGGTATACCAACCAACTTGGAGCAAAAACAATACCCGAAAATATGACTCTAGGACTTGGGGACAAATACGATGGCATTTTATACAGAAATTGCAAGTAACTATTAAAAGATATACTGTATCTGTGGTGTTCTTTAATTTGTATGTTTATATTGTTATATTTAATTCTAATTTTATATTATTACAATAAAAATAATTAAGATTTATTATATTAGTTTTTTTCTAATAATCGAATAATCTTATAGGGCAATGATCAACCGTCAAAACCTTCGAATTCTTTATTAAATTTCCTACATTTCGCAATGTAAAATTCCAAGATTAATATTCTTATATATAAAATCACGTTGATCATACCGAAAGACAAACCTTGCAATCACCAATCTTCGAATTTCGCTTGTTCCTGCGCCAATTTCATATAGTTTAGCATCCCTTAAAATGCGCCCAGTGTCATAATCGTTTATATAGCCATTACCACCCAAACATTGAATGGCATCCAGTGCAACTTCAGTTGCTCGTTCAGAAGAGAACAAAATGGCTGCAGCGCAATCCTATGAAGAAAATAGTAATCATTATTTATTAATGTAGACAATATTTACTTATTTTTTAATAATATATACCCTATTGGATATGTGACCATGATCGCAGGCTCTTGCTACGGAATAGACGAGCGCTCTGGACGCAATGAGTTTGGTATAGATGTTTGCTATCTTGGCTTGTATTAATTGGAAGTGTCCGATCGGCTTTCCAAATTGATGGCGCGTGTGTACATATGGAAGTACGATTTCAAGAGCAGATTGCATCAATCTAATTTATAATCAAAGTAACATCGCTTATTAACAAACGGAAAATCGATGATCGATATCACACAAAATACACATACACATACATACCCCAAAGGTCCGCCCGAAAGTACAACTCTCTCTAAATCAAGACCACTCATCAATACGTACACACCCTTACCTCCGCTTCCCAGGACATTTGAAACTAAGAAAAAATAGGTTAATAAGGAATAAACATGAATTCACCACTAAACTACCCGATGATGTTGGCAGTAGGTTACCTGGAACCTCACAATTTTCGAACACCAGTTCGCACGTATTCGATCCACGCATACCCAATTTATCAAGCTTTTGTGCTGTAGAAAATCCTTTAAAGCCCTAAAAAATAATGTTAATCATTCTTTCGAGGAAATAGATAAATTTATTTGATGCTTAAGTAATGTTAACTAACCTTTTCAACAAGAAAGGCGGTAATTGCTTGTGCACCCGTTCTTGCGTAGACCACAAGCACATCAGCATCAGGGCCATTGGTGATCCACATTTTACTGCCATTTAAAATATATCGATCCTCTTTCTTTTCGGCGCGTAATCGCATTGACACAACGTCGGAACCAGAACCTACTTCAGACATGGCAAGTGCACCAATAAATTCACCCGATATCAACTAATTTCATCCGAAGATGTGATTAGAATATTTAATATTTTGAAAGTTCCAGTAATATACACCTTCGGCAAATACTTCTGTTTCTGTTCTTCATTCCCATTTCGGACTATCTGGTTTACACAAAGATTCGAATGTGCACCATAAGAAAGTCCAACTGACCCCGAAGCGCGTGATATTTCCTCCATGACAATAGTATGTTCAAAATAACCTAAATTCAGTCCACCATATTTTTCAGGAGCCGTGATACCTAACAGACCCATGCTACCAAATTTCTTCCACATATCCTATAAAGCGTCGACAGATCAAATATAGCTTAACCGACTTAATTATTAATTATAAGACGACGAATCATATGTTTACCATTGGAAACGTATTTTCTTTATCGATAGACGCCGCTCGAGGGACGAGTTCTTTTTGACAAAAATCATGCACGGCTTCACGAAGCTAGGGTCCAATACAAGTGAGCTTTGAATTTTTTACTCGCGTGAACGAATACAAATAATTAGCAAGTACCTCTTTCTGTTCGTCCGTCAAACCAGCGATATGCGAAGCATAAGTAGAAACATATGAACGCTGACTTTTAGATAAAACGGTAATCTGTAAATTTTTAAATTAGATCACGGAGTTGAGGAACGCGACCATGGTAAAAATCAGTTTTGTAAAAGTCACCCTGGAGTTCTTCGGTGAAAAATGCGCATTACGCAATATTCTCACGATATTTGAACGTAACATTTTGAAGAAAGAGTATGTATTTCAATATTGATGCAATATTAATTGAATGATATTCGTTAAATCACCTGATTGTTATTGCATAACAATAGAATATTTTGCCATTAGTCGTTGGCAACGGCACTTGTGGTGTCGTTCATATAAATTAGCATTGACAATGAATTAAAGAAAATATGCATTTATGGTGTCGTGTCATGTTAATTGGCATTGACAATGAATTAAAGAAAATATGTATTGGAATTAAAGTCTTCAAATGCGGAAAAGTTTTAAAATGACCGGAAACTCTTAAAAACCATAATATTAATATTTACAAATGTAACTATTTTATGTATCAAGCAAGTTCTATACTTCATAGCTTTAAGCCTGCACTCTCATGGTTTCATATTACTTGAACAGGAATTTTCGATGAGGCGGCAATTCACCCTTATTCAACCATACCAGACCGCAGGCATTGCAAAGGGTCTTTTTAATAAGATTTACGATAGATAAGTAAGCGTGCAAAAAGTTCAGTTAAATATTACTTCAAAAAATACATACCTTGCCCCCGTCAGGTCCCCTCCTAACTAAAGGTGTGGTGTGTCCGTCTATACCACAATGTAGACATCGCCAAACATTCAATTCGTCTGGATTTAACTTTGAGTCATTTCGCATCCTCTGATTTATGGATATACTCAAATGGTCGATTCCGTTTAACGTCGTAGGCTTTAATGATTTAGTTCTGGTGACGTTTCGTGTGGTCGCCCTACGCATTCGCCTACATCATCGAAGTTATATAAGCTTGAGACAACGAATACTCATTTCGAGATGTAATATTTGGTATTTACCTAATGTCTCGCTCTTGATCCAGTCTAATCTTCTCCAATTCTTCACTAGTTAATATTTCTAATACAGGACACCACTCTTCTGCGTCTTCAAAAGAACGGAAAACGGTTTTCAATGGTTCCCGCTCATTGTCCGAATCGTCCGGCTTTATTTCTTTCTTGTGCTTTAATAATTGCTCGTGAATGCTATGCGCGATCACTGAGACAAACTCCCCGCCAATTCCAAGATCGGATACAAGTATTTTACTAAATTCTTCCGGGGTCAAATCTGAACTTAAATCCCATTCAAATCGATCACGAAGGTTTAATTTCCCGACGTGAATATCAAGCTGAATGTTAAAACCAAATAATTAATTAATTATATTAAACGATGAAACCTCTTCTAGAATTTTGTAGATTCAATTTACATTAACCGTAATTCTGGAATCTTCGGGAGGGAAATTACTCTCCATTATAGAATAGTGCTCTTGAATTTGCTTTCTTATAGAATCTGCAATGGGTGCTAGAAATTCAATAGCCGGAATATCAAGATCATGACATAATATTTCCGCAAAATGTTCAGGCGAAACCAACTTCTCTATATAAAAAAAATTATATTAGAAATATTGAAATACGGAACTGACCATAGTAATGAACTCACCATTGAGATTCCAAGTAAATGTATCGCGTAATTTATGGGTATCTAAATCAATATCAAGCCTTATTGGAATTAGAACCTCTTCATATTCTGCATTGCGATCTAATTCTTTCTGAGAACTAAGAAAAATATTCCAATATTGATTATTATAATTTATAATAAAATGAATTTTGACTTAAATAAATTATCCTACTTGTAAACATGTCTAGTTCTAATTCTTGGTCGCTTTACGATAGGACTTTCTCCATTTGCTGTGAAAAGTCCCGCTGTTATACGCTTTTCTAATGGAGGAGTTCCTCTATCATCATCCTCGAAAAAATCTCCAACGTCATCGGAATCATCTCCAGTTATGATTTGACCTGCACCTCGATGGCGTTTCTTTCCTCTATGAACTGGCAAAACAAGTGCAGTATTGCCTTGTTTAAGACGACTAGGATATGTGCTCCAAAAAATGCGCCTGAGCTTATTAGATTTCATGGGTCTATGTTGTTGTGTTGTAGCTTCTGATATTTCAATGGAATCAAGTGTTGATAAATCAAAATAATTAAGATTATAAGATTAATTTAAGACAATCGTAATACCCTGTCGCGTTACTCTTCTTGACACAGTAGAGTTGCTATAATTGGAATAAGTTCTTTTGGGTGCATAGGAGGTATTATTGTTACTTTGAAGAACGGAGTAAGGCGCCGCGTAATTTGAAGGCGCGACTAATTGCGGGTGAAATGCTGTTTGTTGATAGTTATAAGGAAGCTGTGAAGAATATCCTACGTTGGGGTACACGTGAGAAGGAGCTGGGCGCTGTTGTGAGTAAATGTACGCTGGAGGTTGCTGGTAGTTTGTGGAAGCAGCCCTCGTATAAGGGTTGTGAACCGTCGTTGTATTATTCATTATTAACTGACGCGGTTGATAAAAATTTAGGACATTCAGTTTTTAAAAGAACATGAAATGTTACTCATGTTACACGGCAGTAACAGGACGCTTATTTCGTTAATTTCATTATTGTTTATAATTAGAAGTACATTAAACTTTATTATTTGTAAAAAAAGTTTTAAAAAATAATTTAATACAGTAAAACCTATGTTTTTTCTTACTAAATGCAAAGTCAAGCTTGACGTCAAGTATATATATAAACTTTAAAGATTTTTTTTTTACTGTATATTAAGATATTGTATATTACATTACAATATATCTGTTATAGTAATTTTTTTTAATAAAAAACAATAATAATAAAAAAATACTTTTTTATATTTGTAATAAAAAAAAAATTACAGTAATAATATTAAGTTTGTTATATATATTATCAAGTAAAGTTTATACTTTCGAATTTATATAATTAATAGATATTCAAAGATTTGATGATATTAATAAAATAAAATAAAATAATTTTTTTATAATATAATATTTTTTTATTTAATTTATATATTAAAAATATACATTAAAAAAAAACCAATATTTCTTATATGCAATAATAACAAGTTTAATACTAATTTGTCTGTTTATATAATTTATATCTAGTTAATATTGAAAATAAATTTTAAAATATTATATACAGTAGTGTGCAAAAAAAACCAGAATCATATATTTACTTATAATTCAATAACTAATTAATTAAATTATATAAAACTTTATAAAT